GCAGCCAACTAGATTCTAAGGGAAGCTAGCTTATAAACCAAATTTACTGCTGCGGTAAGGAGAAGTAGGCTATGATAAAATAATTAAAAATAAAAGAGCTTACGCGCGTCCTAGGCTTCATCCGGGCTGATTTGTAAGACGCCCAACGAGAGTTCACGTCCACCGGAGTACTATAGCATCCACCCACCTCTCCAGGGGTTCTGTCTAGTTCAATTTGAATATATAGGGAATTCCTATATGCCTCCCTTCCCCGGCAAAACAGGGAGCAGGAAGCTTTCATGATGCATATGGCCTTGCACTTTATTCCAGAAAAATTTGGGTTACCGTTCGGGATAGGGTTAGAGTTAAAGTTAGGCTTGCAAGGTATAGGCAGTGATCGTATTCAGAGCACTTCAATCATCAGGCCAACTGCTGGGTTGTCGGAAAAGACCGAAGGCACCCGTTAGAGGATATTATCGTGCACAAAACTCACAGTTACTAACCCTGGCGGCGAGTGGCCGTGGCCGCAGATTTCTCGTCAGATCCGATTGGTTCATGTCTGTGCAATAAATGCACGCAGCCTTTTGGTGAGGATGAGTTGTTGTTGGTGGATACAATTTGCTCATAGCCGATTACCTTCTCTTCCTCTTTCGTGTTGGCTTTGGGGCCAACAGTCGCGCGGTTCGTAACATAAGGTGAGTGTACCGATCAAAATGTCGGTTGGACTTAGTTTTAGGTTTAGGACACGGGACTACTTACCTTTCCTGAAATTAGGCGCAAGGTCACATATTGCGTCTCCTGTCGGAGAGAGGGTCCACCTGAATGACTCTTACCTCTGTTTGTTGGCTTCGGACCGTAAACTAGTTACTCAAGTAGCAAATGACTCATACGCTTCCCGATTATTGGGAATTTCGGTTTTGTAAAACTTGAATATGTGATTTATTTCTGTCAAATAAACAACGACTCTGTATTGAAGGCTACTCGTCCTTACTGGTTATGTGGCGTATTTGTTATGCCCGCAATTGTATCAGGTCTAATAAACGACTGCTGACGTGTCTTACTGCAGCGATGGGTCTTTTACCCCTATTATTTGATGCTGGATGACTGTGTCCACGCTGTACAACATCCTGGTTCCATATGGTGTGTGTGTGTGTGTGTGTGTGTGTGTGTGTGTGTGTCGTAGCCCATTGTT